CGGCTAGTTTTTTGTATTTTTTTTTAGTAGAGACGGGGTTTCACCGTGTTAGCCAGGATGGTCTTGATCTCCTGACCTCGTGATCCGCCCGTCTTGGCCTCCCAAAGTGCTGGGATTACAGGCTTGAGCCACCATGCCCGGCCTTATTATTTATTTAGCTTTATACTGAGGGTGGAAACTGGGGTCCTGAAAGTGTTTCTTTCTAGAATATTCTGCACCCACTGGCAGGCCTTAGGCTTTGTCTTTACTGCTTCCAGGTAGCTGCCAAAATGGAAGTTTATATTCTCTAGGATTTAGCGGCCTCAAAGTCAGGTTTTTTGCTCGATTCTCAGAATTCTAGCTCTCATTTTATTTATTTTTTGAGACATGCTCTGGCTCTGTCAGCCAGGCTGGAATGCAATGGCATGCTCTCAGCTCACTGCAACCTCCACCTCCTGGGCTCATGTAGTCCTCCCATCTCAGCCTCAAGAGTAGCTGGGACTACAGCTGTGCACCACCAGGCCGGGCTAATTTTTGTATTTTTTTTTTTTTTAGAGACAGAGTTTTACCATGTTGCCCAGGCTGGTTTCAAACTCGGGCTCAAGCAATCCACCCTCTTCGGCCTCCCAGAGTGCTAGGATTACAGGCATGAGCCACTGCGTCTGGCCCATTTCACTTTATTTTTTTGAATGTTTACACATTCCTCACTTTCATGCCTGCTTATCAGTGTGTTTATAAAGATGTTTGTAATTTTTCAGCATTTTTAGTTTTTTTGATTAAGAGGGCTGTTTAGGCCATCTAATCTGCCATGTTACTGGGAAGATTAAGAGAATTTTAGCTGATTTTCTCAAAAGAGTTAGGGGGAGCATATGGCAGCTAAGCAGCCAAGAAGTGACATACATTAATTTTTTTAGAGTAAAACAGATATCTCTTGGGCCCACAAGCTTGTAGGTTCTGCCAAATTGCAGGATGTTATGACCATCTGATGCTGTTTAACAAACCAGTCCAAACTTAGTGACTTAAAACAACAATTTTATTAGGCCAGCACATTCTGTGGGTTGGGAACTTGGATGGGCACAACAGGGATGGGCACACAAGGATATCATTTGGATATCCCCTCCAAATCTCATGTTGAGATGTAATCCCCAGTGTTGGAGATGGGGCCTGGTGGGACGTATTTGGGTGATGGGGGCAGATCCCTCATGGCTTGGTGCTGTCCTTGTAATAGTGAGTACTCCTGAGATCTGGTTTTTTACGTGTGTGGCACCTTCCTGCCCTCCCCAACTCTGTTTTGTTCCTGCCTTCACCATGCAAAGTGCAAGCTCCCACTTCACCTTCCACGGTGAGTGAAAGCTCCCTGAAGCCTCCCCAGGAGCCAAACATGCCGGTGCCATGCTTCCTGTACAGCCAGAAGAACCAAGAACCAATGAAACCTCTTTTCTTTATAAATTGCCCAGTTTCGGGTATTTATAGCAGTGCAGAATGGCCTAACACAGCTCGCTTCTGCTTCCCAATTTCTGGATCCTCAATTGGGAGGACTGTATCTGGCACCCAGATTGGCACCTGTGGCTAGGCTCAGCTGGGACTGTTAGTCCCCGCAGGTAACCTCTCTTTGTGCTTGGACTTTGTCACAGCATGGTGACCTCGGGGCAGTCAGGTTTCTTGCACCTCATTTCGGGGCTCTAAGAGGGTCCCAGTGAACAAGACAGAGGCTTCATGGCTTTTTTTTTTTTTTTTTGAGACAGAGTGTCGCTCTTGTTGCCCAGGCTGGAGTGCAATGGCACGATCTCGGCTCACCACAATCTCTGCCTCCCGGGTTCAAGTGATTCTTCTGCCTCAGCCTCCCGAGTACCTGGGATTACAGGCATGTGCCATCACGTCCGGCTAATTTTGTATTTTTAGTAGAGATGGGTTTTCTCCATGTTGGTCAGGCTGGTCTCCAACTCCCGACCTCAGGTGATATGCCCACCTCGGCCTCCCAAAGTGCTGGGATTACAGGTGCGAGCCACTGCGGCCAAGAAGCCGTTTTTTTTTTTTTTTTTTTTGAGACGGAGTCTTGCTCTGTCACCCAAGCTGGAGTGCAGTGGTGCAACCTCGGCCCCCCGGGTTCCAGCGATTCTCCTGTCTCAGCCTCCTAGGTATCTGGGATTACAGGTGCACGCTATCACGCCCGGCTAATTTTTGTATTTTTTAGTAGAGACAGGGTTTAGCAGAGACAGGTGTGAGCCACCGCACCCAGCTACCAGTCTTAAAAGTTTACAAACTGTAGTCTGGGCGCGGTGGCTCATACCTGTAATCCCAGCACTTTGGGAGGCCAAGGTGGGCGGATCACGAGGTCAGGAGATTGAGACCATCCTGGCTAACATGGTGAAACCCCATCTCTACTAAAAATACAAAAAATTAGCCGGGCGTGGTGGCGGGTACCTGTAGTCCCAGCTACTCCGGAGGCTGAGGCAGGAGAATGGCATAAACCCGGGAGGCGGAGGTTGTGGTGAGTCAAGATCGTGCCACTGCCCTCCGCCTGGGAGACAGCGAGACTCTGTCTCAAAAAAAAAAAAAGTTTACAAACTGTATGATTCCATTTATGTGACATTCAGGAAAAGGCAAAAGTATAGGGACAGGTAACAGCAGTAGTCATGGGTTGGGGTGGAAGAGGTGTTTGCAGAGGAACAGTAAAAGGAATGTTGAAGGTGGTGGAGAGTGTATAGGCTGGTGAGGACTGGAGCTCCACCAACAGTGCTTTGAGATGAAATGGTGCACTAGAGCACTGAGCAGGAGAGAGAATATGCCTGGGATAATTAACGTGCATTGTAACAAACAAGGGCCTCTGGATCAAGATCTGTCCCAAAGGACACAATGTAAGATTGGGGAATTTTAGACACTGTAGCAGGCCCAGAGGATGGGCATCAGGAAAAGGCAGTGGCCCTCAAGTTCATCTGAAGTAGTTCCATCTCTAGTTTTGTTGAGCCATCAATGAGATGAAAATCTTTTCTCATTTGTCCATCCCCTCACCTTTTTGGTTCAGAGCGCCGAAGATGGAAAAGCTCCTATACCAGCCATAGTTCCCAGACAATGTCCCCCTGCGTAGATGAGGGCTTGCTTGCTGCGCCATCCTGGCCATCTGTGCCACTGGAAGTGCTGGCAGAGAAGTGAAACAGACTGCAAAAGCAGGAAAGGAGATTGGGCTCTTTGCCTTGATTTTGTAAGTTATTTCGTCCTGAACTCCTAAATAGAGTTGATAAACCAATCTCTCTATCCTCACCAGTGGCCCTTCTCTGGCTGAGGGCTGCCTCCAGAAAACCACTGTTTTAATACTCAGACTGTCCCTTAGGCATCAGCGCTGCTCTAACAGAGTATCTTAAAGTGGGTGATTTGTAAACAATACAAATTTGTTGTTCACAGTTCTGGAGGCTGGGAAATCCAGTATCAACATGCCAGCTGATTCAGGGGCTGGTGAGGGTGCGTTACTCATAGATGGCACCTTCTGTGTCCTCACATGGCAGAAGGAGCAAAGGGGGCGAAGGCCCGTTTTTATTTTTATTTTATTTATTTATTTATTTTTTGAGATGGAGTCTCGCTCTGTTGCCCAGGCTGGAGTGCAGTGGCATGATCTTGGATCACTACAGCCTCCACCTCCCAGGTTCAAGCAATTCTCCTGTCTCAGCCTTCTGAGTAGCTGGGATTACAGGCGGGCACTACCACGCCCAGCTAATTTTTTAAAATATATTTTTGGTAAAGACAGGGTTTCACCATGTTGGCCAGGCTGGTCTCAAACTCCTGACCTCATGTGATCTGCCCATCTTGGCCTCCCAAAGTGCTGGGATTACAGATGTGAGCCACCACGCCCGGTCTAAGGCCTGTTTTTAAAGGGCACTAATCTCATTCATGAGGGCAGAGTCTTCCAAAGGCTCCATCTCTTAATACTGTCACCTTGGGAGTTAGGTTTCAACATATGAATTTGAGGGGGACACATACATTTAGACCATAGCAAGCCGTTTTTCCATTTCTTTTGGGTCCGAAATGATATTTGTTTCTGGAGTAGGAGGGCATCCAAAGTCCTCTTTTGTTCTCCATCACCCTTCGCTGAATTCAGGGGCACAGGGAGAAAGGCAAGAGGCACGGGGCAGCCTGCAGAAGCAGTATCTAGCACTGAGCCCCCAGTATCTCCTAGGCAGCCAGGAGAACCTCCTGGAAATCCTCACTCGGCAGATCCAGGGTAGGACTGCGGCTTCTGTTGAACAGCCTTACATCGAGATATGCGGCTTGGGCGCCGTGGCTCACACCTGTAATTGCAGCACTTTGGGAAGCTGCGGTGGGAGGATCATCTGAGGTCAGGAGTTCGAGACCAGTCTGGCTAACATAGTGAAACCCCCGTCTCCACTAAAAATACAACAAATTAGCTGGGCGTGGTGGGGGGCACCTGTAATCCCAGATACTACGGAGGCTGAGACAGGAGAATTGCTTGTATCCAGAAGGCAGAGGTTGCGGTGAGCCGAGAGCGCGCCACTGCACTCCAACCTGGGCGACAGAGTGAGCCTGTCTCCAAAAACAGAGAGGGAGATGAGGCTCGGCTACCAAAGGCACGCGCGAGAGGGGAAACGCTTGTAGGTCCGGCCCTCCGGGGAGAGCGGGGTGAAAGCCGGCGCGCACGGCCCTTCCCAGCTGAGGT